AATAACAAGTCCTGGGGTTTGGATAGGGAAGGTGATGAGTATTCAGTGATACATGACAGTAATGAGATCCTCTTACCCCCCCAATATCCCCAGTATCAGAGTCAGGATAGATCTGGATTATGAGGCCGGGCGGATCTCCTTTTATGATCTGTGTGACCCGATCCGACACCTCCACACCTTCACCTCCACCTTCACTGAGCCCCTCCATGCCGGGGTATGTGTAGGGGGAGGTCGTATAAAGATCTGTGGGGGTAATTTGGAGATTTGAGAACTCCGCCCAGTCTGGTGATGTCATGGGGCGGGGGGGCGGAATTGGTGAAATATTCAGCCAATAGACCTGAAGCATTTTCTTTATAATTATATTGTTCTCAGAATTTTCTATCTTTGCCTTACAGATCACTGTGATTGGCTGGGATAACTGTCCAATAAAAATGAGGGACTTTTTTTGTATCAGTCAGTGAGGGGGATGGGTTCTATTTGTCCATTATCTGTCTATCTCAACTCAAATTAAATGGAAGGAAGACATAGAACAGAGAGGAGAGGTGACCACATCCTCATCCCACCCCAGTGACCACACTGCATCCTCTGTACATCTCGAAGAGTTTTCTGTAGAGGGGTGAAGGGTGACAATAGGGCAGGTTGGGGGGCAGAGGAAGGGGACCGTCCTGCAATGGTCCCTCCATATTTCTTGTTGTATTTTTTTATTTTCATTTTTCCTGAATACATAATGCTTAAAAATAAACTATAATTGTATTTTGGTTGTTTTATTCATTGTTTTTGGAATATTTACAAGTTTATAAATTGATCTTTTATGTCACTTTTCTTATTACTTCTATTAAATTAGCATTTTAGAAATAAACATTTAAATCTGACCTCCGTTCTTCCCTTCAGTCTTCTATCTGACCTCCGTCCTTCCCTTCAGTCTTCTATCTAACCTCCGTCTTACCCTTCAGTCTTCTATCTGACCTCCGTCCTCCCCTTCAGTCTTCTATCTGACCTCCGTCCTTCCCTTCAGTCTTCTATCTAACCTCCGTCTTACCCTTCAGTCTTCTATCTGACCTCCGTCCTCCCCTTCAGTCTTCTATCTGACCTCCGTCCTTCCCTCCAATCTTGCACAGTTACAACGGCTGCTCTCCTGGACTGAAATGGCTTCCTCTGATGTCACTGCACACTGGGAGCTTCTCACAATGTGCATTAGAAGCTGCAGCAAGTCAGATAGAGCCCGCCTCATTTCCTGGCTGGAGTACGTCCAGCATCATCTAGAACTTTCTTTCCCAGTCTGACTGTCCCTGGCCAGGGTTGTCATTACCGCAAAAGGGGCAGCTGCCCTGGACCCCATAATTGACAGGGGGCCCACAGCAGCTAATCCTTTTGCCCAAGCGGCAGACAGCACAAATGCAGGGGCACCGCCAGTGTGGAGAACGGCCACTTCTCCTCTAGTTTCGATTCCCAGCTTGTCAGTTCAGAGGCTGGGAACCATCAGTGCCTGTGTGCCTCCTGCTGCTTTGATCTCCTCCCCTGATGCCTGTCACATAGACACAGACATCGGGGAGAACCACGGAGAAGGGCACAGCCGATCAGGTTAAACCAGGGCTCTGTAGTGTCTCAGCAGGGCTATGTGGGGGTCTCACCAGCCTGGTTAGACCCCTCAGAGCCCTGGTGAGACCCCAAAGAGCCCTGGTGAGCCCTCAAGAAGCTGTGGTAAAAACAGGGCTATGTAGGCTCTCACCAGGGCTCTTTTGTTAGACCCCCATAGAGCCTCGGTGAGACTCCACGCAGCCCTGATGCCCTGGTGAGACCCTACAGAACACTGGTTTACCCAGGGCACTGGGAGGGGGTCTCACTAGGGCTCTGTTGGGTCACCAGGGCTCTGTGGGTTCTCACCAGGGCTCTGTGGGGTCCCACCAGGGCTCTGTGGGGTCCCACCAGCACCATGTCTCCATAGGGTCTCACCAGGGCTCCATGGGGTTTCACAATGGCTGTGTGGGATCTCAGCAGCCTGGTTAGACCCCTTAGAGCCCTGGTGAGACCAGGGTTCTGTGGGGTCTCACCAGTGCTCTCTCATGGTAGTCCTCCTCATGGCGGGAGCCCTATTATATCAGAGTCCTCAGTCCTCCTTATCGTGGGAGCTCCTCTTTCAGTAGGTGGGCGCAGGATTGCAGTCATCTGATTGGCTCTGCTGAGTATCGCTGTCCTGAACAGAGCAGAGATGAGTGTCATGTGACAAATGAGTGTTGTCCATATAAGCGAATGGACACACCCCCTCTTACACAGCTACCAGCATAGTCAGCTTAGTGAGGCTGTCAATCACCTTGCCTCTACTAGAGGAGGGTGCGGAGTCATGCCATCGAGGCCTTAAGCGAAACCTAAACATGAGGCCCCACTCAGGCCTGTGGGGTCTCACCAGGTCTCTGTGGTGTTTAAATGACTTATGGGTTGTCTCCCTGTGGGCACCTAGTTTTACACCTCTCCCCCTAGTTGTACAGTTTGAACAAAAAATCAGAGGGATAGAAGGGTTTTGCCCAAGCGGCAGACAGCACAAATGCAGGGGCAGGGGCACCAAATGCAGGGGCACCCATAGATCTAGGAATAGTAGGGGATGTGACATGGATCAATCACTTATTTTTAAAGAGCACTTCTAAGACACGCACCATGGAGGTCTGTACAAATCACTATAATCCCCTTATCTTTGTAAAATGCACATATCACAAGTTTAACATATGGATTGCAGATAATAAACTACTTCACTATAGCACAATGGAGGCATTAAGCACTCATTATATAAAATAGTTATATAAATTTATACATACATGTATTTAGACATAAGAAAAATCACGTAGCAATGGATCTGGACTCTGCCCTCTGAGTTTGGCCATTTGCATTTGGCTTGTTGTATTTTGTTTTTTGGTTTTGATTTTGATCGTTGAGTATGATTGGGCACCAGGAGGCAAACTCTGGTAGAAATAATAATTAGAATTATCACAAGAGTATGGAGCCGCGGTTGACGAGTAGATCCACTACACCGGATTTATCGGGGATCCACACCTCAAAAGGAGCTTTATCTCCTTATATGTAGAATGCACTCTCATGTATACACGTAATAGGCTTCTATGGGCACTACTGGAGCAAGGTCCATCACGCCCCTATCTACATTCCACATGTATACACACCTATTAGTAATCAGGGCAAACATTTCCCACACCTAGCTCTACTGCCAATTGAAAAGAAAAATTTAAAACTAACAAAAATTTCACTGGGAAACCAAAACTAATTAAACCAAGTTATTCGAACCATACAGACAAAGTGCAGTCAATTGTTGTATGATATTCAAAAATGAGTACATACCGAACTTCACATAATAGAGGGACCTAATAAAAATATAGGCTCTCTAACATCTTACCTTAGAAACAACATCTC